GGTAGGTAGGTAGGGAGTTGGGTTATATAAATTGGTGTCGGGTCTAGCTGAGTAAATATTGTTAGTACTTGTTGCATGCTAACCCTGGTCTGCAGGAGGAACCAAAGTCATGAGACATTTCTACGAGATGTATGTCACTGCCGGTGAAAACTGGCTCCAGAGCTCAGTGATGGTCAACATTCGGAATTCCTCCAAAGGAAAGAAGATCGGCAAGTATGTGTGGAAAAAATGGCAAGTACTGGCCGACGAGTGCTTCAGCTGCATTACAATGCAATGATCAAAATATCTAAATTAGGCTATTTAATAAACCTACGAAGCCCCTCATGAAAGCTTGGATCCTGCTCTGCCTAGGCATGGGGAAGACATCGCCAATGGCATCGCAGAGAATAAGAAAAAGACCCCGCGGGTTCGGGACGATGGTGGATGAAACATCCAGATGTCGACACGAAGGAGCAAACACTCGGCCATTTCTTATCCTGCAGCCCTACACACCTATAACTAGTATATAAGCCTTAAACCCTATTCCGCTAGATACCTAGCCTGTGCAAGGAGTTCGAGCTGTTCAAGGTCTTCGACTCGAAAGAAGAGTTGAGGGAGGATGAAGAGGAGTTCGACTTCAATCTTGGCTTCGAGATGCAGTTGGATGGGCAAGCAACAAGAGGAGCATTGCTACTTGCCTTTAAATGTAGAGTATTGATTGCTTCACCAATATGAAACACCCCATCCCTAAACTATAATTAACCCTAAACCCTAAACCCTATAAGCCAATCTAACTCTATGCTGATCCGAGGTCCGAGTGCCTGGGCGGCCCGCCGCTGGTCGCAGAGCCTGGGCAGAGCTCGAGAGCTTTGCCGAACCCGGGCTCAAACAACGGCGGTGGCTTCACGAACCCAAGGGAAATTCCGAATAAGCGCCAACCGAAGCCAAAGACGGCATCCCAGCAAGCTCCTGCACTCGTGAAGATGTGTTCTGTCAAAGTGACAGAAGCCGACGGCTTGAGGACGATGCTGCTGCAGAAAGGTGTGTGCCTTTGCTGCAGCTTCCCATTCACTGTGATTGTTTATTTCTTTATACTACGCTAGTTGTTTAATTTTATACCTTGGCCATCCTATCCACAGGGGTCCGGCTTTCGCTGATGCACTCATCAAAGACATTGCCCCGGCGATTGTCAACATGAAGGGTGCCTACAGCAATCTTCAGCAAAGCATGACCCAGGGCCTTACGGACGCACAGCTTCAGCCATTGTGTGATGCTATGATTTCAGCAAGCAAAGACTACGACGAGAAGTTCAAGACCTTAAAAAAGGCTTTCCCTTCCAAGGCGAAGGCAAAGGCCAAGGGGCAAGCCGCTCCCGAGACGCCGAAGGTGTAGTCTTGGATGCCAAGGTTTTCGATGATAGGATCGGAGCAACGGTGTTACGCCAGTTTTGTGAGCAGAGCAATCTTTCAACACGCTGGGCTGCCTGCCTGGCCTGCTTAGCCTTAAACCACAAATAATACTCAATCAACCACGAACCAGGCTGGGCTTAGAGGCTGGGCTTAGATGCAGCTCGGTGTGCACGACTCCAGATTGTGCTGAGGGAACTCTCAATGTCGCCGGCATCGTGTGAAATGAGCATGTCTGTCCGGTTTGAGTTAGTTTAGGGTTTATATTAGGGTTTTAAGGTCTAGGGTTTAGGGTTTAGGGTTTAGGGTTTATATGGGGATAGAAAGTTAAGGTTCCAACCTTTATTAAATCCTAAGCCCTAGCCCCTAAACCCCAAAGGTGTCATGGTTGCTCGGATCGAAATGCCTAGAAACTGAGAACCCTTTCGAGGGATCCTACGCTCAAGATCTATATATCCTTAGTTTTTCATTTACAGCTAACCCGAAATCTTCGTTAGCTAGGGGTATTCGATTTAGGGTTTAGGGCTTTATTAATGGGCTTATTATATATATATATATACTAATTATAATTGGGTGTTTATATTTTTATAGGTTTGTGGTTTGGGGTTTTGGAACCCATATGTTATATAGATTGACCTGCTATAAACCGTATAGACCCTAAACCCTTCAACCCTTATAAACCCCTCAACCCCTAAACCCTAAACCCCTAAACTTTAAATCGAATACCCGTATACCTCTACCCCCAAACCCATAAACCCCTAAACCCCTAATACCCCTAAACCCCAAATCGAATACCCGTATACCTCTACCCGAGTTCCGAAAACTCTGAAACCCCTATATATACCCCAATCCCGAAATCTCCCGGGTGCCTCGTCTCCCGAGTTCCCCAAACTCTGAAACCCCTTATTTATAATACCCCAATCCCGAAATCTCCTGGGTGCCTCGTCCCAGTAATCATTAAACTCCCGAGTTCCCCAAACCCTGAAACCCCTATATACCCCAATCCCGAAATCTCCCGGGTGCCTCGTCCCAGTAATCATTAAACTTGAATAACCCTAATCCCCACGCAGGTGTTGCTGGCACTATTCGACGCCGCCTACTGAGTGGTGTGGGAGCTGGCGAACCTTACTTGCATTAACAATAACATGTACACACACACACACACGCACACGTAAGCATCTTCGAGCAGCACGGTTCATAAGGATCCCACTCCGCCCGTAGACAGGACTACTTACAATTATGGCTATAATCGAACCATATATAGGGTCCAGCAGGCTTCTTATTCTAATATTTGGTTGCAATATGTATTAAACTTTGCTTCGGATCAAATATTATTATGGGTTTAATTTGGGTGTGGGATTCGCGAGGACCAAGCCAGGCCTGAAGCACTTGATGTTATATATTGCATTGCTTGGATGTTAGC